GGAAGGTACCAAAGTAATCCCGGCAAGGAACACTGGACAGCGGTCAAGAATATCCTGAAGTACCTGAAAAGGACTAAGGAAATGTTTCTCGTTTATGGAGGTGACGAAGAGCTCGTCGTAAAGGGTTACGTCGACGCTAGCTTCGACACAGATCTGGATAACTCTAAGTCACAAACCGGATACGTGTATATTTTGAATGGTGGGGCAGTAAGCTGGTGCAGTTGCAAGCAAAGCGTCGTGGCGGGATCTACATGTGAAGCGGAGTACATGGCAGCCTCGGAGGCAGCACATGAAGCAATATGGGTGAAGGAGTTCATCACCGACCTAGGAGTCATACCCAATGCGTCGGGGCCGATCAAGCTCTTCTGTGACAACACTGGAGCTATTGCACTTGCCAAGGAGCCCAGGTTTCACAAGAAGACAAGGCACATTAAGCGTCGCTTCAACTCCATTCGTGAAAATGTTCAAGATGGAGACATAGAGATTTGTAAAGTACATACGGACCTGAATGTAGCAGATCCGTTGACTAAACCTCTCCCTAGAGCAAAACATGATCAACACCAGAATTCCATGGGTGTTCGATTCATCACAATGTAACTAGATTATTGACTCTAGTGCAAGTGGGAGACTGTTGGAAATATGCCCTAGAGGCAATAATAAAAGCATTATTATATTTCCTTGTTCATGATAATTGTCTTTATTCATGCTATAATTGTGTTATCCGGAAATCGTAATACATGTGTGAATAACAGACACCAACATGTCCCTAGTGAGCCTCTAGTTGACTAGCTCGTTGATCAACAGATAGTCATGGTTTCCTGACTATGGACACTGGATGTCATTGATAACGAGATCACATCATTAGGAGAATGATGTGATGGACAAGACCCAATCCTAAACATAGCACAAGATCGTATAGTTCGTTTGCTAAAGTTTTCCAATGTCAAGTATCTTTTCCTTAGACCATGAGATCGTGTAACTCCCGGATATCGTAGGAGTGCTTTGGGTATGCCAAACGTCACAACGTAACTGGGTGACTATAAAGGTAGACTACGGGTATCTCCGAAAGTGTCTGTTGGGTGACATGGATCAAGACTGGGATTTGTCACTCCGTATGACGGAGAGGTATCACTGGGCCCACTCGGTAATGCATCATCATAATGAGCTCAGAGTGACCAAGTGTCTGGTCACGGGATCATGCATTATGGTACGAGTAAAGTGACTTGCCGGTAACGAGATTGAACGAGGTATTGGGATACCGACGATCGAATCTCGGGCAAGTAACATATCGATAGACAAAGGGAATAGCGTACGGGGTTGATTGAATCCTCGACATCATGGTTCATCCGATGAGATCATCGTGGAGCATGTGGGAGCCAACATGGGTATCCAGATCCCGCTGTTGGTTATTGACCGGAGAGTCGTCTCGGTCATGTCTGCTTGTCTCCCGAACCCGTAGGGTCTACACACTTAAGGTTCAGTTACGCTAGGGTTGTAGGGATATGTATATGCAGTAACCCGAATGTTGTTCGGAGTCCCGAATAAGATCCCGGACGTCACGAGGAGTTCCGGAATGGTCCGGAGGTAAAGATTTATATATGGGAAGTCCTGTTTCGGGCATCGGGACAAGTTTCGGGGTTATCGGTATTGTACCGGGACCACCAGAAGGGTCCCGGGGGTCCACCAGGTGGGTCCACCTGTCCCGGGGGGCCACATGGGCTGTAAGGGGGTGCGCCTTGGCCTAATGGGCCAAGGGCACCAGCCCCACATAGGCCCATGCGCCTAGGGTTTGAAGGGGGAAGAGTCCTAGGAGGGGAAGGCACCTCCTAGGTGCCTTGGGGGGGAGGGAAAACCCCTTGGCCGCCGCACCCCCTAGGAGATTGGATCTCCTAGGGCCGGCCAACCCCCCTTGGCCCTCCTATATATAGTGGGGGAGAGGAGGGACTTCATACCTGAACGCCTTGGCCTTTGGTTGCCTCCTTCCTCCCCAACACCTCCTCCTCCTCCATAGTGCTTAGCAAAGCTCTGCCGGAGTACTGCAGCTCCATCAACACCACGCCGTCGTGCTGCTGCTGGTGCCATCTCCCTCAACCTCTCCTCCCTCCCTTGCTGGATCAAGAAGGAGGAGACGTGGCTGTTCCGTACGTGTGTTGAACGCGGAGGTGCCGTCCGTTCGGCGCTGGTCATCGGTGATTTGGATCACGTCGAGTACGACTACATCATCACCGTTCTTTTGAACGCTTCCGTGCGCGATCTACAAAGGTATGTAGATGCATCTAATCACTCGTTGCTAGATGAACTCCTAGATGATCTTGGTGAAACGAGTAGGAAAATTTTTGTTTTCTGCAACGTTCCCCAACACAAAGACATAAGGAAAAGAAAACAAGACAGGTGGATCCCCACTCCTCCTGTCACCGTCGAGGCCGCCAGATGGGAAAGAGGAGCGAGACCGTGGCAATGGCGTGTAGGAATGTTTTGGTGGCTAGGGTAGGATTCATGGCAAGGTGAAATCTGAACGAGTATCATTTACATGCTTAGTTGTACTCGGTGCATTAACAAGTAAACACAAGATATATACTTGTGAAGGTCATATACTAAGAGAAATATCAAGTTATGTGAAAAATGTACAAGCACAAAGTACATACTATGTATTCACGTCAACTTAATAGTCACACCCAATTTTAGTTATAGTCACAAGAAATATCAATAATAGGGAAAATCTTCCAGGTTGTAATATTGTAAAACCACACACCATCATCTCTAGACAGCTCAAGTACTAAAACATCTCAAATAAACACAACACATTGCAAATATAGTTCAGGGAGGCACAACTATGGAAATTCAACGCATCTTTGGTCACTAGCACACTTTTCGGTTGTTTAGGCAGCAGGTAGAAACTTCATGCAAATTGGTGGTTTAATCTTGGCAAGAGAAAGTATTGAAGCAGGAAACGTCCATATGCCATCCCCACATATCAAAGCGGATGCAACTGCGGGCACCATGAAGCCAGCCTCCTTCTTGTTTATCTTGGTCCATGCAAAAACTATCAAACTCCCGAGGCACATATCAATAGCAAAGCTCCCACCTACAAGGAATGGAACTGCCATTGCCATTGGTAGGGGCACATACTTCGCATACTTGTGTGGCATGACATCTCTTGCTATACTGAAAACTGCCGCAAATGCGAAAAATCCGCCAGATATTGCAAGGCAATACTTCGGTAACACTGAGAAGCCCTCCACACCAAGTATTGCCATATTGCGGTATATGAGTGCATAAGGTGCCTTCCAAGTACCATATGGGTTACCAATATCAAATGCCTTGTAGAAGAGCATGAACGTGAGGGGGGCGATAATGCAACCCATGGCTGTTCCAATAACTTGTGCAATCATCATCGATTTTGGTGATGTTTGAGTGAGATAACCCGTCTTGAAGTCTTGCATCAAATCGGCGGAGATAAGCACCAGCTGCTTGACTAGGGTGCCAGCAACAAGGCCTGCAATGACACCATTATCCTTGCCGGCCCATCCCGCAAAGACAAAGAGAGCGATCTTGCCATAGTTATAGCCCATGTTGATGTCGGTAAGCCCCGTACCATAGGAATTGGCGAATCCAAGCATGGGGGCAACGACATAGGCTATAACAACATAATACCACTTCACTTGTTTGAACATTATTGGTATGGTAACCACTGCAAGAATGCTAAACAATGCATAACCGGTGTATGCCATCCAAGAGGGGATCTGGCCTCTCTTAAAGATCTCCTGGCGTTGAAACTCCTCAAGTGAGACTGTATCGTCCACATTTTTTGCTGCAATTCATTCGCTCAATATTAGAAAAAAAACTCATTTCTTGATTGGTGGTGCACTGAATTTTATGTTGTCATTTGTTCTTACCTTTGTTGTCAACCTGCTTGCGACTAAATTGTCGATACATGCTCATAGCAGTGATGCCAACAATTTTTATGAAGTGGTACATGCCATCCCCCATGATGAGAGCTATGCATATGAAGGCCTAGGTGATGACGAAATCATGGTCAGTGACATACAAGTTTTCATTACGGCATGCTATTAATTTATGTGATTGTAACTAAGGAAAAAGAGAGTTGTGGTAGATACCTTGTAACCGTACAAACTTTTCATGCTGCTTTCTGGTGCTTTTGCAGGGTACCAATCCCCCTTGTGTTTACTAATGAGTGGCCACATTATTCCCCATGAGATAATTGCACCAAGGAGGGTAGAGATATTTACTATATGTGGGCAAATCATCCCGGCACCAACGTATGTCATGCTGAAGTCAAAGTAGAATCTGAAACACAAATATTAAGCTGGGAGTTAACGGATCACATGCCAGAAATTATGACGACCCACAACGAGAAACAAGTCAAAAAAATTACGTCTGCTTCCAAGCCTTCAAACCGAAAGTAGGGAACTGAACAAATCCACAAGCATCGCCTCCGGTGTAGAACCATTGGAAGAAACTCCATAGAAAGCTACCCCCAAAGTATTTCAGGAATCCACGGATTTGCTTCCTGTCATCGTAGAAGGTAAGATTAATTCATAAAGGTCAAGAACTCACTACGACTTGCTTGTTTTAATGACTGAAAGGACAATGCAACGAGCATAACTAAGTCACAATGTACATACCTTGAATTCTTGTCCCCTACATCGGTATGAAACCCATTTATAAGAATAGCAGTTGCTGTCCCACTTGGGTAAACTAATTTGTAGTCAACGACCAATACCTGAACACATTATGTCAAATCATTGAGTGGTCAAACAGATGAAAACCGGGTTTCACTGCTTGTAGTCAGTTGTTAGGTGCTCTACATATGTGGATGTAATTTTTATTATTTTTGGTGTTCGTTATACTGTCATGATTGAAGATGAATCGAAAATTTTCTCAAAAATAAAAGAAAGAAATGAAATGAAAACCAGGCTCGCAATTGTCTAACGCGTAACCGATTGTGTTATCTTCTTAAATTTGTATCCGTTCTAAACTTAAAATACAACCGTGCATATATATCCGGTGTGGATGAGCTAATTTAATGTACTAACGTGCTAGTATATCGTAACACAGTGCACACAAAAGGTTGGGAAAACGGAAGAGAAGAAAGAGAGACCTGTCTGAGGGGAATCAAGGTGAGGAGGCCCCCGAAGCTGCAAGCGAGGAGGAATCCCGTCATCCAGCCTATCCCTGGCTCCTTCCAGCTTCCCGGCACGTTGCCCGGCGAGTCTCCGGCCAGCTCGTACGTCTTCTTGTTCAGGCCCAGCAAGGTTGACCCGAACCCACCTGCAGCGCGCCAGTCACAAACACCAATCAATGAAGAACTATACTACAGAGACTGGCGTCATGGCCTCCATGGCCAGGAGTGATGCGGTGCTTACCGGCGAAGGCGATGGTGTAGCAGGCCACGCCGCAGGTCTGGACGATAGTGTTCTCCTGCCGCGTGAAGGGGCGGGACACGATGCCGAAGCGGTCCAGCAGGCGCGTCCACCCGCGGAGCGCCAGGAAGGAGAGCAGCGCGGCGGAGACGTTCAGCGTGGGCACCAGCCCGGTGGTGAGCGCGATCTTCATGACGATGACGGTGTAGATGAACCCGATGAGCAGCGCCGCCACCATGCCCCGCACCGTCAGCTCGTCCTGCCACCGCGGCATGGCCTCGAACTGCCACTCGCGCGTCGACGCCAGCGCGGGGTCCGACTCCCTGTCGCCCTCCAGGGCCTCGTCCCTGTCGATCTCCGGCGCGATCTTGGTGCGGTCCGGCGCGATGACGTCCATGGCGACTCCGCTCCTTGCCTCCGCAGCTGCTGCCACCGGAGCATGAAACCAAATTAAGCAAGAATGAAAATAAATCCTTCTTCACCAAGACCAAATTCTGCCCAGCAATATCGAGCAAGAACTAGCAGGGAGCATCGCTCGCCTCAACGGTCAAGGTCGTACGGCTCGACTGATCACTGTACCGTGGAAGAAGAATCACTGGAGGCTGCAGCTTTCCAGGAAGTCGTGCCCCGTTTCCGCCCACGAGGCGAGCTGCAACCGTGTGCTTTTGGGGTGAGATTGTGATGTTAAGCATGGCCGATGCCACGGTTTTTATAGAGAGAATCATTGGGAAAAGTCCACCCGCTTACTTTTCCAAGTATCTGTAGATTATTTATTCATGGTGTAAGCGGATGTTCCTGACCAAGTACTACAGATGATGTAGCTGCGGCCCAGATTTACAGTACCTCGGTGACCCATCCGAAGCTGATCGGCAGTGCTACGGGGATGTCATATTCGCGGGTTCCTTTGACTCTGGATCACTGATAAACTAGTAGGAAACTGTCGTGTCAGTGTGTACCAAGACTCCCTTCGAAAAAGAACTGTGTATAAGCTGTCGGACTCAAAGAGAGTTGTTAAAGAAAGGAACAGAGACCTCGCATGCCATTTAGGATCGGATATGACGTAAAGTAGGTTCGGATAGGGAAGCGGGATCCTCTCTAGGAGGCGGGTGCTTGAAGAGAAAAAGTGTGGTCCAGTGACAAAAGCTGAAAAGGTTGGAGTGAAAAGTAGAGATGCATGTGTACTAGAGTTTTTATTTTTCTATTTCTTAATGAGGTCCACTAGTGGTAGCTTGCATTGGAGAGAAAAAATAAATGTAGGTGCCTCAAATTACTTTTTATCATGGGGCATATGTATCCATATGCCACCATTGTACATGCCCTCAGTGGCGGCACTTTTCGTGCCATCATGCCGTAAGCTTCATTCCGAAAGTAATTAATGGACCACGAATTCCTTGGACATGGAAAATCAAAGTACCTTTAAAGATTAAAATTGTTATATGGTTTGTTCATAGGGAGATGATCCTCACCAAAGATAATTTGGCTAAACGAAACTGGAATGGATGTAAGAAGTGTTGTTTTTATGATAAGGATGAAACAATTCAACATCTTTTTATTTCCTGCCCTTTCGCGGCTTTGATTTGGTGCACGGTTCATGTTGCATATAATTTGCCACCACCAACAAGTATCTCAAATTTGTTTGAAAACTGGTTGGTTGGTATCAACAAAATACTTGAGGGTCATATCCGTGTAGGGGTTTGTGCCTTGCTTTGGGCAATTTGGAATTACCGAAATGATTGTGTTTTTAACAGGTCCCGCTCTATTAACTTTTTGCAAGTTATCTTCAGAGCCACCGCATCGATCCGCATGTGGTCATCACTTCAGCGTGGTGACGCTAGGGGGCTCATGGCCTTTGGGTGCAACCGTCTGAAGGTGGTTTCACAGGCGTTACTCAACCGGTTTGGCTGGCATGTCACTAATAGATTATGTGGTTAAGTCATGTAATCTTTCGTTTTGTACCCATCATTTGTGGTGTTTTTTTTGCCGTTTTGGTTGATACTACTGTGTTTTTAACATGTCTCGCTCTATTAACTTTTTGCAGGTTATCTTCAGAGCCACCGCATTGATTCATATGTGGTCATCACTTCAGCGTGGTGACGCTGGGGGGCTCATGGCCTTTGGGTGCAACCGTCTGAAAATGGTTTCACAGGCGTTATTCAACCGGTTTGGCTGGCATGTCACTAATAGATTATGTGGTTAAGTCATGTAGTCTTTCGTTTTGTACCGACCATTTGTGGTTTTTTTTGTTGTTGTTTTGGTTGATACTATGTATGTTTCAGACCTATTTTTTTAAATAAAAATGGTTGTGCGCATCATGATGATGCAGATACCGGGGTCTTTCCCCTTTTTGAAAGGAAAAAAACGACTTCCTTGGACATGGAGCTAATGACATGTATTAGGGAAAATCACCTATTGATCATGCTAGGATATCAGACGTGCCGGTGCGTCAGATCCATATAAAAGAACTGAAGAACGTATTGTGTTCATGCAAAAAAGGGACTATTTGGGGCTAAAAACAAGGACTATTCTTTTAAGCATACAAATTTTAAAAAAACTAGTGTTTGTGTGACTTCGTTTAATTAGCTGAAGAAACCAGCTCTCTCGAAGCAACCGAAAGTTGTACTTGCACCCGAATTGTAACTGAGCTTGGTTTGCATTCCTAAATTTTGACATGTCTCGAAATACTAGAACTTTTTTCGATGAGATTTAGTTGACACTTAACGTCGACATCGAGATGATACAGCCATAAAAAGTTCACACCCAACCAGTTGTCAAAGAGAATAGTGTGACGAATAAAAGAACAGTAGATTTTAGCAAGTCAACGAGAGAAAACAATGTTCATTTATGCGGCTTGGAATTGGTACTGTATTTCCCTGTACAAGATACAGCACAACAATACGCCTGCTTCATGCCGCTTTTTGTGCCTTACCTATGCGATGACAATTTTGGCACGTACAATATGTTGTGCTCCAGTTGACCCTGGCTAAAAGAAATACAATGTCCTTCAGTTTAAGCAGCAAGGGCATATCAAAAACACAAGTTTAGGCACCAAGCACTAAGCAGGAGTTGTGAAAGAGTAAGAAAAGTAGTGGTGGTGTGTGAGCAATAATCTTGCCGCAGGGTGCAAAGGGAACACGAGATTCGGTCAAAGAAAAGAAGCGGCTGCCAATGATCCGTATTCGGGCAATCTAGAAAATCCAGAATATTTGATTAGCCGAATAACCCGAGCCTGCCGACTTCGCTAGGATTCCTATTTACAAGGACCTCCCTCCTCTATCGAGTTGGTAGGTTCGTCTCACTTTCTTCCTCGGTTTTTTTCTCCCCACGTCCTCCTCTCACCTTTGGTTTTATGTTGATTCTTTCAGTAACCCCAACCAATGCTGCACAAAATAAAAATGATTCGAATATGGCGTTGACGTTCAATCTGGATAGCTCCCAGATCAAATGAATCGTTCCCTCGAAACGACCGATTGAACAAAAATTCCTTGTCGCAAATTCTGCTAGTCCATCTCGAGAAAAAAAAAAACTTCTGCTAGTCCATCTGGCACAAACCCAATTGCCCAAACCGAAAAAAGGTCAATCACAACCTAGTTGCCTGCTGTTGCACTAAAAAAATCCAAAAACCAAAAAAAAGGAAAACACAGAAAAACCTTGCAAAACAGAAACAAAATGATTTGCCATGATATGCAAACTGAATTTGCCTATTATCTAAAAAGCATATATACCATAAAACTGCCATCATCATGTTAACAAAGGATTAAACAAAAAGAATGATACGGTGTACAAAAAAATAAATGACAATGGTTTCCTTTAACAATTTTTGCATGTCCAGATAAATAATTAAAATTGACCATGCTACCAATTTTTTTTTGCCATGGTACCAAAATTAAATTTTCCATGGCCAAAATATATAGGACAATTTGCCATAATAGAAAAAAACAATTTGCCATGGTCACGCAAAAAAAGAAAATTACCATGGATTGTTCAATAAATTTGTCATGAATTGTTCAAAACATAATAAAAAAGAAAACATTGCCATGGGTTGGTCAATAAATTTGTGGTGGTAAAAAATGTGAATGGTTCAAAAAGTAAAAATTGCCATGGTGCAAAAAAATAATTGCCATGGTTCATAAAGTATATCTACCAACGTCCGTAAGTTATATTTGCCATGGTGCAAAAAAGTAATTTGCCAAGATCCAATTCTTTTTACATGGTCCAAAGAAAACCATGGTTAATTTCATTGCCATGGTACACTAGCTTGCCGTTGCAATTCCACTAGTTGCCATGAGGGTATTAAAAAGTGTTTTGAAAAGACCTAAAGTTGCCATCTTGGAAAACAAAAAATGGTTTTAATTTGCCAGGTGACCATGAGAAGAAAAAGTGATGGTAAAATTAGTTTAAAAGGTGTGTTGGTTATATGGCAACATTTTTTTTTACTTTTTGCCATGGCAAAAAGTTTAACAATTTTGCCATAGTAAAAAGGTATTTTGTGACATGGCAAATTTTGTACTGGTGACATGGCGAAAGCTATGAACACTTTTGCCATGGATTTTTTTATAAACATATAAAAGTTGGCATGGTATGGTTGAATTATTTATCATGTTGTATGACATCCTAGATATGCTTGTTCAATTTGTTGGCAACCTTGTAAATCTAGATTTGCCAAGCATGTGGGAATTTAGGAGTACAAAGGCTACAAAGTGATATGAATTTTTTAATGAAATTTGATCTGTGCGTTATGAAGAAAGCATTAAGATACTTTTCTTGGGAGAAACTGTTCTATACAAAATGACATGGCAAATTTTGATCTAAAAAAGGTCATGTCAAGTTTCTCTAATGGCAAAAGGGATAAGAAAAAAAATTATCTACCAAGTGAGATGGAAACTTTTGCTCTAAAAAGGTGATGGCAAAATGGAAAAGAAAATGTTATAAAGAAATTGTTCTGTACCAACTGACATGGTAATTCTTTTATCTAAAAAAGGTCATAGCAAAATGGAATTTAAGGAAAATTGTGTAAACCTTGTTGTTTGTGACTAAATTAACAAAAGTAGCCATCCTGATGTATTGGCCCATGGAAAAACACAAATTAAAAAAGGCCAAGTATGTGCAAAAGCAAGATTGCGCATGAGCATATCAGCTATAATATCTACAATTGCCAAGCACTCTACAATGACCTATAGTATCTTTAAATTGTCAACCACTCCGCAAAAGCACAACTAACAATGATTTGCATATGAAAAAGCATTACAAAATGGACACAAAATTCAGTGGCACAAAATCAAAGCCTTGGGTGACAAAAAATGAGTTAAAATGGTTAGGTTGCCTACCAATCCCCATATTTACCTAGAAAAATTGGCAAAAAAAACTCATAGTAGATAGTGGCAGAGCCACTACCTAGTGTGCGAAGTCGAGGTGAAGCTCGTCGAGCTCATGGAGTTGGGATCCCGGTCATCCTCCTCATCCAAGGAGACGGGCGCCTATTGCATAAAATTAGGAAAATAGTTTCAGCAAATCTGAGATAGGTTGTGAGGCATGAATGCCAATAGACCAAGGCAGAAGAGAGGGAAGTGAGAGAAAGGGTTGGAATTACCAGAACCATAGGAAGAACACCCACATTAAACCCATTAAGAGACGCTAGAATGGTGGCCAATCAGCCACGCCATGTGGCGCATGCTGGTTAGTTACGGTGAGAAATGCTTTTTTAGAGTTTTTTTAAATGGTAGGAAGACTTTTTTCGAGAAAAGTTTTTGTAGGCTTTTTCTTTTTTCTTTTAAGATGGTTGTGATGTCCACATGATGCGAGAATATATTTTTTTAAAATTTTGACATGATAGTGAGGTGCGCATAGCTTCCTCGCAAGCGGCCTGCAATGGCGGGCTCCAACCACTAGTGACCACCAAGCGCAGGAGCAATATCTGGGAGTAACCGCACCGGTAACGAAAGAGATGTGGCTACGATATGTCTCAAATGCATCTATAATTTTGATTATTTCATGCCATGTTTATATCATTTTGACATAGTTTTGACATCAATTTATATTACTTTTCTGGACCTACCTATTAATTCAGTGCATGGTGCCAGATGTTATTTTCTTGCATATTATTGAATTTTCAGGAAAACAACAATTTTATCGGAACAAAAATTTCAGAAAAAAAAACAACACAAGTTTTTCAGTCTAAAAGCTTCCGATGGCAACCGGCGTAGGCCGAGGGGCACCCTGAGTAAAAAATGTTACACTCATGAGGGATAGATACCGGGGTCTCCCAGTTTCTTCGATGCAGGCTAGCCACTGTGCCAACTTCATCTTCGTATAGATTAGGTAGGGCGCGACGTACTATTAGGAAAACTAGCCGGTTTTCATACAGGTTCATTTCTTTTCCTATTTTTACTGGGATTCTTATTTTCTTTTTTTCTTCATTTCTACTCGGTTTCTCCGCCCCCCCCCCCTTTCTTTTCTTTTTTGCTTGTTTTTATTTTTTTCTCCAATTTTTTTGTTATTCTTTTGTTTTTTCTTCTTTGGGGTTTTTCATTTGTTTCTTTACTTTTTTCTTTGGTTTATTTTTTGGTTTTCATTTTTTGGTTTTTTCTTTGTTTCTTTTTTTTTCATTCTACATTCCGATACACATGTCAACATTTTTTTAAAATACTTGTTCACCAATTTTTAAATAATTGTTCAATATTTTTTCAAATAGTTGTGTGATATTTTTTCAAATACTTGTTCAACATTTCCCAAATACTTGGTCAACATCTTTATATACATGATCAAGATATTCTCAAATGATTATTCAACAATTTTCAAAAGCCTTGTTCAACATTTTTTAAATACTAGTTCAAAATTTGAAAATACTTGTCTAATATTTTTCAAATACGTGTCTAACATTTTTGTATACATGATCAACATTTTTTCAAATACTTGTTCAACATTTTTCAAGTACTTGTTCAAAAAAAATTAAATACTTGTTCAGCATTTTTGAAATATTTTTTTGAAGAGTGTTTCTGTAACATATACTCCCTCCGTCCCAAAATATAAGAACATTTTTAACACTACACTAGTGTCAAAAGCGTTCTTACATTATGGGACGGAGGGAGTACATTATAATATTTTAAGGTATAAACAAAAGTACAAAAATAAAAATAAAAGAGAAAAGAAAAAATGTAAAACAAAGACAAGAAAAATAGGCTGTGGCCTCCTGCGTTCGTGGGCTGGCCCAGCTCGCTCGCCCCTTTAGCGAGTCCGAAGCCAGACTCGCTGAAGGCGAGATATAGGCACGCCCCAATAGAAGTTGAGAGCAACTAATTGAGGAGCACTCATTGGAAGCCTTATCAAGAGTTACTTGGGGTGAGTTGAGAGCATGCCACAGTCGTCGCCACATGTCACACTCTGAATGTTCGATCCAAATTTTGTTTCTATTCTATTTTATTTTTCCGCACGCGTTTTGGCTTTTTAGATGGGTTTTCCCTAGTTTTTTCAGCTTTACGGTTTTCCGCCCGTCTTTCTTACCTTTTGGACAAAAAAATTTGTAATTTTTTCTTTTGTCTAAAGAAACACGTTTCTCTTTTTCCCTTCCATGAGAGGCATGTCCGTGCCTCTCGAAAACGAAAAAAATGCATATTTTTACTTTCGCGAGAGGCACGATTTTGCTTTCGCATGTTTTATTTATTTTTTCTTTCGCAAGAGGCACGATTTTTCTTTCGCGAGATGCACATATTTTCTTTCACAAGAGGCATGGCCATACCTCTCGAAAATAAAAATAAAACACACACGTCTTTTCTCTTCCGCGAGAGGCATGGTCCGGTTGTTTCTGAAAAAAGTTCGTCAAAACTTATCAACATGTAATTTAATTTTGAAGATCTCGACCCGAGGAAAGGAACTTCTTGGGCCCAAAGCGTGCCCATTTTCTTCTCAAGCGTGCCCATTTAAGTGCCTACTTGCCCACAGCGGGCTGACGGTGCGCGCGCGCCCGACGTTCGCGCCTTCCCCTCCTTGCTACCTCAAACCGGAATCACCAACAGAATCACCATATGCATCCACCGCCCAGCGATCGATGGGTGACGCCCCCTCCCTCCCATGGAAATTTCGGAGACTAATCATATCACCTCCCTTCGTTCGTCAGTTCAAATCTATTGCGTCGAAGGACGGGGAACCAGGGCGAGAGATCGGGCGCCATGGACGGTCTCGTGAATGGCTTGTCTGGCGCCACGCACGGCGGGGCTGAGGACGCCGCGTCTAGGGCGGCCAACCGTGCCGCTGCCGCTCCAGGGGAAGGGGACTGCCAGGAGAGAGCCCGGCCGACGTGGGCCGAGGTGCTCGCGTGCTGTTTGATAGAATGGCTATGTAGGCTGTAAGGAAAGAGAGTTCGGTTGTGGGGTCGTCTGATTGGAAAAAGTTCTGATAGTTTGAACTGAAAGTTGACTACCGTTTGGAAAATCTGATTGGAAGGAATGGCAGTCGTACCTATATCAGTAAATTATAGTAAGACTCTGTTTCATGGATTCTGATTTCTGAACTTCTATTGACTGTATGAAGAACTCCGAGGAATGGAAGCGATACAAAAGACCACCTTCTGAACAAGAATACTCTGAGGATGTCAGTCAGCTCCGCCATGGTCTAAATGTAGAGCCTAGCAGGGAGGAGCTCAATCATTTGCCAAAGGCATGCTGTCCGCTATGGGAGCTTGACCTGAACCGTCTCCTTCCTGGTAACGACTACACAATCGAATGTGGCCAAGGGAAGAAGGTTTATCAGAAGGGTGACATGGCATCTGAAAACTTGTTCAGCTGGCTGAAGGATGACGTACTGCGGAGGCCTACATACTGTCGCTTTTGTGCACTTGTGGACAACTACAACCCACGCCAAGGATACAAGGAATTAGTCACTCAGCAGGACAAGAATGAAGAAGCTGCTTTTATTGAGGAGATTGCTAGAAGTGCACCAATCAAATACTTACACCGGTATCTGGTGCTGAAGGGAATCACGTCTCAGGACCAGAAGGACTTCAAGAAAATGCTGGCATCCCTGTGGTTTAATTTGTATGGAAGGGGTGATGCTCTGGTAGCTCTTCTGCCTTTGAGCATGTCTTTGTAGGAGAGATCAAGGGGCGGTGTCGAGGTGAGGATGAGGTCACAGGCTTCCACAACTGGATTCAGGCAAGTTATTGTGTTATTTCAGCAGCATGGTTCCATTATCTGAAAGACATGTTATCATGGTGCTGTGTGACTAATATGCAGTTTTACCTGGAAGAATCCAAAGGCAATGTGGATTACCAAGGGTACATATTTCCAAAGAAATGCGGGGACCTGGTGAGTCTATGATCTGAACATACATGGCACATGTTTATATCGCAACTCGTATGGGTCTTAAAAGGTCTTATGCTGAATTGCTTGTCTGCAGCCAGACTCTGAGACACAGCTGCTCACCATTCAGTTTGAGTGGCATGGCTTGCTGAAATCTGTACCCAGCACATTGGTTGGTCAGTCCTGAGTTTGAGATTGCACTCTACACGCTCTGCTTCTTGGGTATTTTGGTTTGGCACTTCTGTCAAAGAGTGCATACTTACTTTGGCATAATAGTTCAAAATAACATCACATAAGGTTTTGTTTTATGCTATCAAGAATGGGAAGCATGAAATGAACTTGTACAAGTAGGAACTCAAGGCGCTTGTTCGTCAATCTTTAGGTTAATTTCTTGTCAAAAGTGAAGAATTGACAAACCTGTATGTTGAAGGAGGAGGTATATAAATAATATCTCTTTCACATCTTGACATGTTGAAAATAGCAGTCAATAATATAACGCAAAATTATATTTCATACCTAAGGTACCATCTGCAAAGTGCCATTTACCGATATCAGACCTCAAATATATGGCTAGCAACTGCAGAAACAAGACGCCACCATTTTCAATGTCCACTTTACAAGGTTGGATACACGGTAAAACATAGAAAACAGACTCATTTCATACCTACATTGGTACTGTATAAACAACCCTTCACATCAGGAACTCTCAAAGTCTCAAGTTCCAAATATGCAACTCAACCTAAAGAACTACGTATGAAGACAAGTACACAAAACATTAGATCTTCTAAAGGTTGTACACTGATAAGGAGGAAAAATCACCATTAGTGGATTTTTCTTCATAGACGCATTACAATGTACACGGAGTCTAGGACATTAATTGTTACAGAAGATCACGTTGGAGTTGGAGCAGCGGCAGCCTTCATGAACATGAATCTCCTCCTTGCGATGCTGTTTCCATTTTCACCTAGAGCAGCAAGGTGAAGCATCCGCCGCCTTGCTGAAGCCACGGCAATATCGTCTGCTGTTGGCTTACCCTGGACATCATGAGGTGGCGAGTTGCCCCCTGATGTGACACTTTCGCCATCCAACTGCTTGAGCTGCATCACTTGCTTTAGGCTGTCAGCCACCTGTCTCATGGTTGGACGGTCCCTTGAGCGCTTTGCAAGGCAGGTGTTGGCCAACTTAGCAATTTCTCTAGTTCCCTGCCTAGAGTAACGGCCTTCGAGTCTTGTATCTATAATCTTGCTGAACTGCTTACTTCCGGCAGGATACTGCTTTACCCATTCCAGCAGTTTCTGCTCATTCTTGGGGCGGTTCTTATCCATAGAACGTCGTCCGGTGAGGATCTCATAGAGTACTACTCCAAAGCTCCAAACATCACTCTTGGTGGTGAGATGGCCTGTCGCGACGTAGTCTGGAGCCGCATAACCATAGGTTCCCATAACCTGATTATGATAGAGCAAATTGTTCCCATAAGGAAATATTCTTGAATGGGTGGATGCAGCATGAGGAAACTCCATTATCTTGCTCTGAACTATAATTAACACGTACCGCTGTAGACACATGAGTTTGATCTGCTGATGGCCCTTCCCTTGCTAATCCAAAGTCTGAAAGTTTCGGTCTAAACTCCTCATCCAGCAGAACATTGGAAGCTTTGAAATCACGATATATGATCTAAAAAAATCCATGAAATTTGATCATAAAAATGATGACATTTCTATGCTATTTTCCTAAGCAAAATCAAAACCTGGAAGGTTGGAGATAACACTTATTTTAAAATCCTTCCCTTAACAAACAGGAAATAATATTCATGACATCCATTTTCTCGCAACTATGCGGTTCAATTAGTATGATCACTGCACAACATAGTTCCATCCAGAAATTAATGCTTTAGCACACATGTTTTAACTTGCAAAATTAGTTGAAGCAACATGGAATGAGTACTGTATCCATCCAAGTTATGGTCAGATCGATTAGATTTATTAATATGATGAATTAACTGAATTGCAAATTCCAGCATTTACCGATATGATGTGGTGCTGCACGAATTTATGCATTTTTCACTCCCTGTTATTTGCAAATCAGGTATCGTTTAAGTTTCAAAATATGTTGTAGATAGTCATACAACATTGGCCTCACTCTTGTCCTACAATAATGCAGTATTCTCATTTCTCACACAAAGAATGCTGTGGAAAGTTGGCAAGCTGTACCTGAATCTCCAACCCTTCATGGAGATACATCAAACCCTGAGCAGCACCAAATACTATTTCCAACCTGACGCCCCATGGAAGAACAGGGTATGCTCGATTGAATAGATGATCATCCAGAGTTTTGTTCGTCATGAACTCATAGACAAGCAGCCTCTGAGGACCTCTTTCGTTACGGGCAGCACAGTAACCGATGAGCTTGACGAGGTTTGGGTGCTCGACAACCCCTAGAAAATGAACTTCTGCCAGCCATTGCTTATGCCCCTGATCAAGGTTGGTAGTGAGACAAAGGGAACTCAAATACAAGTACTGAATGAATCGTTGACTCCTAGTAGCATCAAATAGTTGGACAATATAATGATACTACTCCCTCCAATCCAAATTAATTGGCACAGGTTTAGTACAACTTTCAAGCAGGTTTAGTACTGAAGTTGCACTAAACCCGCGTCAATTAATTTGGATCGGAGGGAGTACAATGCAACAACACTGAAAGCATCCAACCACGCATATACTTGGCAGAATTCACACTGCACAGATGTTTGATAGTATTCTCATGTTGCATATCATCAGAAGGATTGCAGCCTTAGGCCACAGAGATCAATGAACTACTCCAACAACTGAAACAATTGTGCAAACCGTGTCCAATCTTAGGAAGCCAGCACGCGAAGAGCTGCTACTATAGGTCGCAATTGGCAAGTAGTACTAGTAAACTGTAGGGTTATATCCGGGCTAGATCTTACACGGAATCAACCTATGATGACGAAGAACATGACAAGAAAAAACAAGAGAAGAACACCGCCGAATGAAATTCCTAATTTTAACCATGGAAATAGAAATACTACCTGGTGGCCGCTGGTGTTGAGCCTTTTGATGGCCACCACGGTGCCGCCGGCGGGGCCACCGGGCAGGCGGACGACCCCCTTGTAGACGCTCCCGAACCCGCCCTCGCCGATTTTGAGCAGCCGGCTGAAGTCGCTGGTGGCGGCGTGGAGCTCCCGGAGGCCGAACTCGCGCAGGCTGCTCGCGCCCCGCTCCTCGTACAGCTCTGGGATGCTCCGCGCCGACGAGGCCGACCCCGACGACTTGCTCCCGCCGGGCCGCACGGTCGCGCCGGAGTCCTGGGACTGGCTCGTGGCCGCGGCCGACGACGACGCCGTCGAGCAGGTGGCCTCGGAGGTGAACGACGCGCCCGGGCCCCGCACCGGCCTCCCGTGCGGTCTCTTGCCCTTGCCCGCCCTGATCTTGCTCCTGAAGCGGCCGAGGCAACCCATTTCCCCGGAGAACGAAAGCTCTGCTACGATTTCAGCCTCGTGGTGGCCTTGTTTCCTCCATGCGCGTACGTGCGTGCCTCCACCTCGCTCGGCAGCTCGAACCACGAGGGGAAAGGAGGCACCGCGCGGCACAAAGCCGCCACTGGGAAAGTCAATAAAACCGACGCGGAATGGTTTGACGCGAGAAGAGAGTGGCAGGCTGCATGGCGCCACCAAGGAGAACCCACGATGAATTTCACCAACCTTCCTGGTAGAACTTAAGTTTCGGCTGTTGTTTCTGAACTTGAATTTTGGTTTTACGCTGTGAGGCGGAGGAAGAGAAGAAGCAGAAAACGATGTGTGTGAAGACTACGGGTTACTACTACTACGTGCCTAAGTTTCTGAACGGAGTTACACTAACTAGGCATGGGATGGGTGGTCGTATCAGTCAAACGAAATGGTCTCCGATGGCGACGGGAGAGGAGACGGGTGGGGGTTGCAATTGCAAATCGGAGGGATGGCTTTGACCCCACGTGCTTTTGCTTTTCTATACGTGCCAAACTAGTCATCGTATATCTTCCCTAAAAAACGAGTACCCCAACTATGGTAGTTAAATAATGTCTGCTGGGAACGATTGGTACTCGCTCCCTCTGTTCCATAATGCAGTGTGTATGGATTAGTCCAACTAAGCAAACTTTAAACAAGTTTACAGAGAAAATTATATATATATATATAGTGTTACTATTCATCATTCAGGGTGCAGAATAAATTATTTTTCACCCGAGGTAATCTTATGATCATTTCATAATTAAATTGCGTTTCAAATTCAAATAGTTATATTGCTATTGATTCACTACGTAAAATTTGACATAAAAAAATTAAAAATATAGGTCATAAGACAAGAGAATTTACAGTTTATGTGTATTTTAGACTATGTTTTTACGTTTGTAATTTTACATAACATAAAATATTTTTTATGGCGATTATATTTTTTCAGGAATAGTTATTCTTCACCTCCCCTCTATTTTTACCATCAATGCACCATAATTTTACGTTCCGTAAGTTTCGTCTTATTTCCGACGCAAAAAGGGACCGTAAGAAAATATATAATTGCCGTAAAAAATATTTTATGTTATGTAAAATTACAAACGTAAAAATATAGTCTAAAATACACATAAAATGTAAATTTTCTTGTCTTATGACCTATATTTTTGTTTTCTTATGTTAAATTTTACGTAGTGAATAAATAGGAATGTAACTATTTGAATTCGAAACGTAATTTAATTATGAAATGATCGTAAGATTACCTCGGGTGAATAACAGTTTATTCTGCA